GAGGTTGCTATGAGCTGTGATGCCACAGCACTCAGCTGAGGGCAACAAAGTGAAACTGTCTCAAAAAAAAAAAAAAAGAAATTTACAAATGTTTGTTTGTTGCTCTAATTCAAGCTCAGACATTCTCTCAATGGCACACAAAACACACAACAACAATAAGAACACCACTCAGCCAGACACTACCACATGTTGTGTCTCCCAGCTGATAAACCAAGGCAACGATGTATCTAGTTTATGAAACCTTACCAAGTTGTTTGTACAGTGCTGCCAATGTGAGCTCACACAATGGAAAGTTAGCAAACTTAATTGTCAGACCTCATATAACTAAAGTAGTATAATAATAATAATCAACATTTATTGAATGTTTATTACATGACAAGCACCATTCTAAATGCTTTATAGGAGATCTATCACAGCATAAAACCAATCTCACAACATAGTGGCTTAAAACAACCACCAATTTATTTACTCAGAGTGCTGTGGCTAAGGAATCCAGGCAGGCTCATTTGGGTAGTTCTGCTCTGCACACCTCAGCTAGATCCAGCTGGTAGCTGGGCTGGGCTGAAAAGTCCAAGAAGACTTCACATGTCTGGCAGTGGTGGTACCCTTCCATGTGGCTAGCTTGGGCTTCCTCACAGCATGGAGACTCACCATAGTCAGACTTCTTACATGACAGCTGACTTTCAAGAGAGATGAAATTAGATGCTGCTGATCTCCTAAGGCCAAGCCTTAGCCATCACACAGCATATCTCTGCCCCATTCTATTGCTCTATGTTTGTTTTCTATTATAGCTACAACAAATTTACAGAAATTTAGTGGCTTTAAACAGCACAAATGTTTTGTCTTACAATTCTGGAAGTCAGAAATCTAAAATGGGTCTTAGTGGACTAAATCTAAGGTGTTGGCTGGGCTGTGTTCTTCTCTGAGGACACTGAAGGATAATCCATTTTCTTGTCTTTTCTGTTTTCCAGCAGCTGCCCACATTCATCTTTAAAAGCTAGCAATGGCCAGCCAAATCTCTGTCACCCTACATTGTTGGACTTCCTCCCTGGTTTACATTTTTTGTTTTTTAAAATTTCTTTTCTTGTTATATTTCTTTTTGCCATCCTTGTACAGGGATCATGCTAATCTTCTCTGTCTATTTCAACTTTATACCTGCGCGACTAAAGAAAAGCTTCCTCTTTCACTTCTAAGGACACTGGTCATTACTTTGGGCCCATCTGGATGACCCAGGATACTCTCCCCACCTGCAGGTCAGCAGATTAGCAACTTGAATGCCATCTACAACCTTAATCCCCCTTTTCCATGTAACACAAGTTCTAGGGATTAGTACATGAAAATCTTTGGAGGCCATTGTTCTGCCTACCACGTGATCAAACCAGAGACAGGGCTAGCTCAGGCTCAAGGGGAAGGGAACTAGACTCCACTATTTGACAGGAGGAATAGCAAAGATTTTGTGTCTCTCTGTGGTCCACATAGCATGCATTAACTCATGCAATCCTCAACACAACTCCCTGTAGTAGGTACTAGTATGATACTATCCACATTTTAAAGTAGGAAACTGAGAGCAGAGGTGTGGAGAACTTGACTTGGGGCAGTTGGCTGGTTAGCAAGAGGGCTGGGGTTCTAACCTGGGCAGTTTGGCAGCAGAGTCAGGCCTGTCTGGTGCTCAGCCAATGTTTTGTTTTCTCCTTCTCTCCTGATCCCCAGCCTCCACACCCCTGATTATATACATATGTATGCCTCTCTCACAGAAACACTATTATGTACATGAAGCTACTGGTAAAGTCCCCTTAATAAAGAAGATGGTTGACTGGTATTCATTTTAGTAAACGTAAATCTAGTTTTTGTTCTTTGGCCATGTGCTATATGATTATTAAAGTTTCCTTATAATTTCTTTCTGCTTGGATTCTGACCCATCCATGAAATTGTCACCCCACTACTACTTTTTGTTCTTTTTTTGACTTAAACCTACTTCTGGTTACTAGTCCTTATTTTCAGACATTGTCTTAGAAATGCAGGAGCCCTGGCCCCATCTGGGTGGCCCCCAGCCCCAGAATTTGTCTGCTTTAGATGCCGCACTGCACCCCAGGCCAGATCCCAGAGCAAACTTCTGTTCTGCCTACACTGGGCCTTCAGGCAGCACAGGCCCCAGAACTGAGAAGTGATAGGAGCTGTGCCCAGAGTAGGTGGAGGAGGCAGTGTCTAAGATCAGCATCTAGTCAGAATGCATCCAAGTGTAGATAGATCTTGAACTCAGACAGGTCTAAGCAGTTCCTCTGTCCATCCATTTAATAGTTCATGGAGCGTTAGTACAAACACCAAAGGATGGTACTGGGGCTGATACAGCCTGAAAAAGTATCTCTTGGTTTGGACTATGATCTGCACATCCAGTGCCAGAACCTATGGGAAGAACCTGGTGTCAGGATGTCATGCTGACAAAGGTGGATGTGTACCTTGCAAACAAAGTACTGATTTTGCATTCATTCACATATCCGACAAGTATGTGACCACTTGTTATGAGCCAATCACTGAGCTGGCCACAGAGGACAAAGATGAATAAATTAGATAGGCCCTGCCCTCAAGAAGCCCACAGTTGACCAGGCACAGTGGCTCATGCCTGTAATCCTAACACTCTGGGAGGCCAAGGCAGGAAGATCTTTTGAGCTCAGGAGTTCGAGACCAGCCTGAGGAAGAGCGAAACTCCATCTCTACAAAAAATAAAAAAAATTATCCAGCTATGGTAGTGGATGCCTATAGTCACAGCTTCTGGGAGGCTGAGGCAGGAGGATTGCTTGAACCCAGGAGTTTGAGGCTATCATAAGCTATGATGGTGCCATAGCACTCTAGCCAACAGAGTGAGATTCTGTCTTAAAATAAAGAAAAGAAAAGAAAAAGCCCACAGTTAATTTTAGTGGTCATTATTCACATTTTATACCTGGGCATGTGAAGTCTTAGGATGTTAACCACTCTGTGTCTACCAGTAAGTAATAAGCCATTTTTTCCCCCCAAGGAGTATTGCTCAGAAAAGAAGGAGGTACTTCATCTTTGAGTCCTTGCAATGTCTCTCATTCATCTTATAGCAATGCTCCCTAAATTACTTTATATTTAACCACCATGGTACAGTTTGGGGAAGAGGGGAACGCATTAGCCTAAAATCACCTCAATTAATGTTAGTTTGGGATGCTTAGGAGATCTTTCAGTCACTACAAAAGGAATGTGAGATTTAACACAAATAGTTAGTTATTCCTGGGGGTGTGACTTCACCTTTGCAAGGCTGGAAGTTGCTGTAAACAAGCCTTTTATGATTACCTTAAAAAGCAGTACAGCGTGTGGTTAGGGAGGAGAGAACACTGAACACTACCTGACTAATGCTATGCAAACGGGCACTTAGTGGTTTGGGATAAAATTTCCAGTGGAACATCCTACGCAGAGTCCAAGAGCTCTCTGGCCACCCAGATGGAAGACAGAATGCCTTCAAAACGGCTTGAGTGACAGCGAGGATGCTGAAGACCAAGGGGCATGTGAAGAATTTGAATAAATTGTTGTATGAAAACTGAGAGTGGAAAAAAGCAATAGTTATAAATGAGATGATTCTATTACATAAATTATACTAAATATGTATGGATAACTAAGCTTACATATTTAATAAGCAGATCATAATTTCATCCATGTCACCAAAAGTTTTATATGTCCAAGTCGACCAAAACATTATGGGAGGATTTACCTGTTGGAAAATTTAGGGCTACCTTAAGTTAATATTTGGTGCCAACATCTCCTTGGGCATATGTGGGTCCTTTTGCCCAAAGTGAAACATGGAGGAAGGTGAGAGGCAGGTTTGTCTGACCCACCCATGCATTCGCCTTCACTCGTCATTTAGACCAGATTTCATACAATCTAGCACAATGGATTCATATCCCACTGTTGATTTCACTTCATTTCAACTCAGAGCATTTATTGGGCTGCCAATAAAAGGGAGGAATTGTTTTTCAAGTCTGTAAATCATTTTTAGTACTGAGCTAAGAGAGAAGAGACTGACTTCTAACTGACGACTGAGGAAAAAGAGTGGTTTTGACTAAGAACAGCACTAAGTTTGGGGGTCATGGGACATTCTTTCTGTCAGGCAATGTGTCTTCCATGTCCTCTTGCTACTTCCTGAGTATTTAAAATGCCTGAAACCCCACCCTCAATAGATCAGTCACAGGGGGCAAATAAACGTGCCGTTTCCCTTTGTCAACTTTAAAATAATAAAGAAACAACCCCCATTAGTTTCTTTGGGTAACAGGATTTTGCTATTTTCTTTATACTTTGCAGTTATCACATGAATTTTCTACATGAGCGTGTATTACCTTCAATCAGGAAAAAAATCAGTAAATACTCATTTATGAAAACACACTATTAGGCTACAGAATTTCAATGTTGCTTGCCAGATTTGCACCGAGCCCACCTCACATTTAACCTCTTTCCTTATTATCAATCCAGGCTAGGAAAACCCAAGTATCTGCCTGTGGGCCAGCACCCCAGGCTTCCCTCCCGCAGGCTCTGCCTGCCACCACACAGCACCTTCCCCCAAGACGCCCTGAGAACAGCATGTGAAGGAGAGAGAACAGCAAGAGGCTGTGAGGTTTGATTTATGTGTCAACTTGACTGGATCAGCAGTGCCCAGATATCTGGCTACACACCATTTCTGGGTGTGTCTGTGAGGGTGTTTCCAGATGAGATCAGGGTCTGAAGCAGACGGCCCTCCCAGTGTGGCTGGGCACAATCCAGGCCATGGAGGAACAAAATAGTCCCAACGGTGGAGGAAGAGAGAGTCCACTCCTCCCCCCCCTTTTTTCTTGCTTTACTGATTGAGCTCACTGAGACATAAATCTTCTCCTGCTTTTAGACTGAGACTTACGCCATCAGCTCACCCAGTTCTCAGGCCTTTGAACTGGGATTGGATTACGCTACTGGCTTTCCTGGGTCTCCAGCTTACAGATGGCAGATTGTGGGACTTCTCAGCCTCCACAAGCACATGAGTCAATTTCTCATGATAAATCTCTTTATATATGTATACAGGATGTATATATATATTCATATATATACACATTTATCTCTATATATGATATAAATAGGACATATGCTTAGAAAGGCAGAACTCTGTTCTGTGCCCAGAATAACAAAAAAAGTCCGATATTACCTCTCTCTCTCTCTTTTTTTTTTTTGAGACGAAGTCTCATTTTGTCACTTGAGCTAGAGTGCTGTGGCATCATCACAGCTCACTCCAACCTCCTACTCCTGGGTGCAAGTGATCCTCCTGCTTCAGCCTCCCAAGTATCTGGGGCTACAGATACACACCACCATGCCCAGCTAATTTTTCTTTTTTTGTGTGGAGATGAGGTCTTGCTCTTGCTTAGGTTGGTCTTGAACTCCTGACCTCAAGTGATCCTCCTGCCTCAGCCTCCCAGAGTGCTAGGATTACAGGAGTGATCCACTACACCTGGCCTCTATTATTCCTAACAAAAGTAATAACTAAAAGTTTTATAAAGTTGTTCCAGGGCACCACTAGACATTGTGATCCATATGGATGGCACCACCCCTTCTCCGGGAGTTGTGCAGTGCAGTTTATAGAAAAGATATATATATATTTCAGGTGTGTATATTTTTTATTTGTATATGTTATATATGTATGTAATCCTATTGATTCTTTTTCTTTGGTGAACCTTGACTAGTACAGATGTCAAAAAGAATTTGAGTGGTGTCTTTTTGGTGTATGGATTTAATATTATTATTATTATTATTATTATTTGAGACAGAATCTCAAGCTGTTGCCCTGGGTATAGTCATAGCTCACAGCAACCTCCAACTCAGGCTCAAGCGATCCTTTTGCCTCAGTTTTTTTATTTTTAGTAGAGACAGGGTCTCACTCTTGCTCAGGCTGGTCTTGAACCTGTGAGCTCAAGAAATCCACCTGCCTTGGCCTCACAGAGTGTTAGGATTACAGGAGTGAGCCACCGCACTCAGCCTGGATTCAATATTTTTATGTCTGTCCCTGAGATTCCCCCTTTAAGGATGGGTTCTTGGAGATACATGAAATCCCTAAAAGTTCTATACAATAAAGTGGGAAACCAATATATGTCTCAGAGCAAGTCATATAACTTCTTTGAGCTCATCTGTAAACCAAGTGTTCAGA